CTCCGTCGTCTACAAGCCTCGTTTGGACTACCAGAAGTTATCCGCACCGGATCAAGCTCCTGTGCATGTTGTACTGGACTCGAGGATCTGTGCAACACGCTCCTTCGCCTCTTCTATCCAAGTAGATGGTTTGAGTTGTCTAATATTTACGGACGGTGGCCTAGTGCCCTCAGCAGTATTTTCTACTATGTGATAGGCTTGATCAATACCAAGTGCATGTCGATCCTAAATGGTAGCCTAAATCGGGTTGGACCTATTGCAGGAGTTTTGTCAAGCTGTATATGACCAAGGTGCTGAGGTGGATAGTATCTGGGGATTCGTCGATGGGACAGTACGAGGCATTTGCAGACCATCAGGAGCTCGAGCTGAAAGAAGCGTCTATAATGGACACAATAGGAAACACCGGCTCAAATTCCAGACCGTCGTAACTCCTGACGGCATAATTTGGCATCTACATGGACCAGTGGAGGGAAGTCGGCACTACATAACGTTGCTACGAAAGTCTCAATTAGAGGAGCGCATCAGGGCTGACGAGAGATTTCAGGGGTATTTCATTTACGGTGACCAGGCTTACGGACGGGCAGATGTGTTCGTTCACCTTTTAAAGGATCTGCATTGACACCAGCTCAAGCCAAAATCAACTCCTCAATGGCGGTGGTACGGACCTCGGTAGAGTGGTCGTATGGTCAAGTGACTAACTATTGGGTGGGTGTGGATTTCAAGCGCATAATGTACTTGGGTGGGGCTCCTGCAGCAACGCTTTACAAGACTGCAGTGGTTCTTACTAATTGTATCACTATTCTCCGAGGGAACAACAACAGTTGATTTTTTGGAGTGGAATCTCCTTCACTGCACGAGTTTTTTTTTTCACTTGAACAGTTTCAATACACATACGGCTTAGGTTTTCGTCTGGCTAATGCAGCAGCTACCAGTTTTAGCAGAGATTCTGTTTGTGCAGCTTGATGCTGCATCTGCTCACGGATAAGCTCATGTTGGCGACGCTGGTGATCCAATTCCTCGCGACGCAGCTGGAGCTCTTTCTGATGCAGATTAATCTTTTGCTCTTCAAGTTTCCGACGTTCTACAGCTTCTTCCCGCTCATTTTGCAGCAACGTCGAAAGCCGACGGCATTTCTGAGGTTTCTATTGGCCCCCACCAATTAGTCTTGCGGAGACTCTGTTAGTAAATACATAACATCATCACTAGTCAATAACATGAATCATAGTTAGCAATTATGCGTACCGTTTTTCAGCTGCCTGCATCAACCGTTGACCCGCAGTCTCAATCTCGTGAGTCTTCGTCGTCGTCGGACGCCGCCATTTGTCTCTCTGCAGCAGCTTCAAACATCACTACAGGCTCATCTTGGCCCAGTTGAAGCAATAGAGTGTCGGCCTCGCTCAAGCAATCCACAGGGGAGACGTCGCTGTCTCCAGGCTGTCATCGTGTTGCAAACTTGTCGTTGACGCAAAATGATTGGTTATCATTTCGTCGTATCAACGCTTGCTTAAGCGCAATCAAAAATCCGTAACGGATTTTTAAAACGGCTTTTTGTTTTGCGCTCAAAATATTTTTGGTTCTGCAGCTTAAACGCTCTATTAACCTGATATGCCTGACCCGTGGACAGCGCCTCCTATCAGGTATAGCAGTAAATTAGATTTGAAAATAGAGCACCAATTCCACAGCCAGGCCGCAGCCACTTGATGCCGGCATCATTGTTAAAGCGACGATACCGACATAAACTACTACAACAGGCGCTCAATAAAGAAGAAGAAGAAGGTCTAACTCGTGATATCTACGACGTAGATCAGTTCGTAGTAAAGCGGTGGGTGAAATCGTGCTGGTGTGAGCTGTATCACACCGAGGCCGGTGATCTTGTATCAACTGCTTTCGACACGAGGGACCGCCCAATTATTATTGACTGCTCGTACCATCTTCTAGTTCGAGATTCAATTATCATCATCAACTGGTTTGCAATCCTAGTGAAGAAAACGTTGCAACGAAGGAATACCGGATAACGTTAGCAAAGAGGTACTCTTTGTTAACGGATGCACCGACACCAAGCCAATCAGGGGCTACTAATAGGCATAGTTTCTTACAACGTTCCTTGAACTAAACTTGATAATTGTATGCCTCACTCTTTTACGTAAAAACATTAAAATATTAAATGTAAAAAAAAAAATACACCACTGTATCCCATAACTAATGTTTTAGTGTTAAAAAGTGACACGCCTGACCTTCCGTTTATTAATTCAGTGTAGGGACGACCTTAACGACAATACGATAATGCCTTCGCTGAGAGTGACACGCCAGAGCACACAGAGTGCGCAGTTTGACGACAAAATCCTAAAGATATATTGTTGGCTGTGGGTGGGGCTCCATGCGGGTGTGTGAAGCGCGTTGATATTCCATTCCGTGTTGATTCAGAGATAATTCTCTGGATTTCATATCCACAGTTTTAGCAGAGGTGCGATTCTGCCTTAACCCCTCTAGCCCCGCATTTTTGGGCGGAAATTAACCTGTATTATACAGGGTAAGAATTTGACTTGGGTTTATTATTTGCGGAGTTTTCTCAAGCTCACAATCCCTGCCTGTTATCTACTCTGTGCAGTACAGGTTAAGAGCAAAATTGGAGGTTCAAACATATGGAGCAGTATCCTGTATCTGACAAAACGACTAGTCAAAA